AATTAAAGAAAATACAAAGTGTTGACGAAAGGAAAAAGGTATGGCATTAACTACACACTTGGTTGTTTAGCCCTATCATCATCATCGTCATTATTATTATTCAGACAGCAGAAGAGACGATTGACTTATTATGTACATATTATACCTTAGCCACGGTTGACAATTAGTCCAGAATATCACAGATCCAAGTAAAGGGTCAAGAGAGACTTATTTGATAAAGGAAGATGTTTCTCTCAAGTGTTGCTGATGATGAGAGGATGATGGAAGCTCTAGATCCCTTGAGAGAGAAAATCCAGGCAGTAACATGCAGTAACAATTTCCTCTAACGTTCCATATTTCTGTTACTGTGTACTCCATCAGGACACATGTTAGCTATTTACTTGGACTTCCGCCTCATTTTTCATTTCTTTTTCTTTTTTTTTTTCTTACTTTCAGTCTGCATCTTCACTGCTTCTTTCTCCTTTTGACTCTTAAGGTTCAAAAGGTTTCTAAGAAGATAATACTAAGGCCAAGAGTAGTCTTTCAGCCTTTCATCTGGCTATTCCTTTGTAGAAAATAAGTATATCCCTTCTATACAGAAGTCATTCTAGGAAAAGTATTTGATGATGTAGTTTTGGATTTCTTCACCAAACTATGTAAATCCCAGAAGACAGTGTTTGCAACCATTAGTCTAAAAAAGAACATATTTAGAAGTTGTAGAATAATAATTGATTTGGTACTAAGTACGTCTTACAGATACCCAGCACTCAAATATTTGTTGTTTCAGCATGTTCAAATTTTGAATGGCATTTTAAAATGTGTTTTTAATGATGCTTCATTTTGCAATTCAAGCTTGTACCATCACCGAAGGCACTGAGTCCCCTAGTTACCGTCTCTGACCTGCAGCGTGTTACCCTGAAACCTAACTCCAACGTGTTATCAACTCGAGTAACAAATGTCTTAATGTAAGGAACTTCATAGCAATGTGCTTGACTGCTACCTGAAAGAATAAGTGTTTGCTTCATTCTGACTTTAAAATTGCTCATTACAGGAAAGTTGAGATCTACAGAGAATTTTAAAGAACATTTAAAATTTTAAAAGAAAATTTTCTTAAAAGAAAGTTTAAAAGCATCCAAAAAGAATTTTAAAAACAACTTGATTTCAGAAATAATCAAATAATGAAAATGAGTATGTCTTAGACTCAAAAGAATATAGTGTGTTTGTATGTTTGTGTGTGTGTGTGTGTGTGTGTGTGTATGTGTGTGTTTGTAACCCATTTACTGTGTATGAATTGTCTTCCTATGTTATTAAAAATACTTTAAAACATTTTTACTTCTTCAATATAGGCCATAAATTTCATAGACAATATCCTGGGATTTTTTTTTTTTTTTTCAAATTTGTGTGTGTACCGTCAAATCAGATCTGACTGGTACAGGAGGAGATTGTTCCTCCTTCTTCAGCAGAGCATCTGGTGGATTTGAACCTCACACCTCCAGGATTACAGTGCAGCTTCTTGCCACTAGGCCACCAGAGCTCGCTGACAATATCCTGTTTTGAGATGGTTTGATTGCCTGTGGCTTTTTTGTTTAGCCTTTTTGTTTCTGTGACTCTTCAAAGAATACCCTTGGCCATTATCTGTATGCATAGCTGAGTTTTACCTTGGGTAGATTCTTGGTTATGTAATTACCAAGACAAGAAATATTACAATGATCACTTCATCTTATTCCCCCATCAGCATCTATTGCTCTTTTTTAAACATAGTGAGTACAGTGCTTTCTAGGAAATTGCCTTTAAAGCTTTAATTTTAGAACGAAGTTTAACACAATCTATTCATATGTTTATTTTATCAGAACTCCTGGGAAAAGCCAGGTAGATCTACGGAAACTACTTAGAAAGGTCGATGTAGAGAGGTAAGACACTCTTACCTTAAAATCCCTTTGAAATGTTGGTGTGGAACAGCTCCTAATGTTTACAATGTCTTTGCAGAAGCCCAGGTGGAACCCCACTTACCAATAAAGAAAACATGGAAACAGGAACCGGACTAACCCCAGTAATGACCCGGGCCTTGAGGAGAAAGTTTCAGGTAAGCCTTTTAAAAAATTAATTTTATTTTCTTTCTTCAAAATCATTGATTTAATCCAGGGCCATATTCTTTTTTTTTTTTAACTGGTTTATTTACAGAGTTCATATACTTTGCTAACCTTTCCCATTTGCCTCACCCACCTCTCCCTCCACCCATCAAATTGAATTGTGTGTCCCTCTGATTAACCACCCCTGTGCCCCTGCCGCACATCTTTACCCTTCTGCTTCCCCACCCTTGGATCCTCATACTTGTTCTACAATAATCGTCCTATTATACAATATTGGTCCTTATAGGACTGAGTTAGTTCACTCAACATAATGCTCTCCAATCCCTCCCAAGTTAGGTGGTAATTTATAAAATCATTGCTTCTGCATGCTGCATAGTATTTCATCGTGTGAATGTACCATAATTTCATAATACAGTCTATTGTGGTTGGACATTTGTGCTGTTTCCATGTTCTTGCAATGGTGACTAACACTGCTATGAGCATTGGTGCACAAGTCTCTGTTTGTGCCTCAGTTCTCATTTTCTCAGGGTATATTCCAAGCAGTGGAATAGCTGGGTTATATGGAACTTCTATGTTCAGTTTTTTGAGGAAATACCAAACTTAGGGCAGCATTCTTTATCATACTAGTTTGGGTTTTTTGGGTTTTTTTTAAAGCTCCTTACACTTTACAGAGAAGCCCTGTGGCACAGCGATTGAACACTTAGCAACAAATCAAAAGCGCAAATGTAGAGGTTCTTACCTACTATCTACTCCACAGAAATCTGCTCTCAGTAAGATATATAGTGTTGAAAACTCTATGGGATTGTTCTACTCTGTCCTGTAGGATTACTACTAGTTGAAATTGACTCAGTGCTAATGGATTTAGGTTTTTATAAACTTCGTAAAGCATTCTTGTATTTAGCATTCAAACATTCAATTAAATAACTGGATTATTTTCTCTAGCAAAAAAAAAGCCTGATTTGATTAATTTCTTATTAACAAGAAGTCTTTCCTAAGCACTAGCCTTGGTGGCATAGGGGGTTATGTATTGATCTGCTAAGTGAATCCAGCACTCTGGGGGAGAAAGTTGAAAGAGCTCCTCTAGTTAAGATTTGCAGCCTCAGAAACCTGATGGAGGGTCACAGCGAGTTGGAACCTAGTCAGCAGCAGTGGGTTTGGTGTTTGTTTGGTATGTGCCAGGCACTATAGTGAAGTATCAGAGATACTCAAAATCACTGCCATCAAGTCCATTTTGACCTCTATCAAGTTTCTGAGGTTGTGAATTAGGGGAGACTGCCCACCTTTCTTCCGTGGTGATGTTGGTGGATTTGAATCCTCAGCCTTTGGGTCATAACCCTTTGGGTTAGCATCATACTTTACCACAATTTACAGATCAGGGCTTTTCATCTGGGATACAGTGGTAACTAAAAGCAGACACAGATATGCCATTGTGGAGCTTCCAGTCTACTAGATGCTTGTAAAAAGAGCAAGGGCTGCATGGGGATCGCCATATCTGAACTTAACCAAAGTCATAAAGGGGCACTGTCCCTGTCAACATCATTAACAACACAAAACCAGTTTCCATGAGGTCAGACATGTCCCCCACACTCCACATCTCTTTCTACCCATCCCAACACCAATCTTACTGCTTTACTGGTTCCAAAATTCAATGTGATAGGCCACACAGAATAGAATTAAGGAAGTAAAAAGCAATAATTCAGAATAGTAGCAGAATACATTCAGTCAGGACAGCTTCTAAAATATGCTTGCAGGTACCTCAGGCTTGAGCCTCACTGCTTTAGACCACTGTTACAAAGCTCTCAGTCCTGCAAATTATGGCTGCCTCCCCTCCACCATCCCTAGTTGTCCAACAAACTTAGGCAAAAGTTCCTAGTTCTGCTTCCATGCAGTAGCAGTCCCAAAGTCTACTCCATCTCACATCAGGTCTCTGGTTCACTGTTGCAGCTGCTATGGTTGCTGCTTTTGTAGGCCCTTATCTGACTGGCACAAGAATCTCTGACCCCCAAGAATGGTTGCATTCTTTTGCTTCTTCTCTGCTGGTGATGAGGTTCTCAAATTATGCTCAAATTTAATGACAAGACTAGCCAATTCCCTTGTGGATAGGCTAGCATGCCCTATTTGTATATTCCCGCCCATCCAAGGTGCAAAGTCAGAAAATGGCTTGTTACTACTGTTGTTAGGTCTTGTCAAGTTGAATATGACTCACAGCAACTCTATGAACAAAAGATCTGAACCCTGTTCTGTGCTATCCTCACACTTCCTGACACATCAGAGCCCATTGGCAGCCACTCTGTCAATCCACCTGGTCAAGTGTCTTCTTCTCTTTCACTAACCTTCCACCCTTCCAAGCATCATGTCCCCATCCAAGGAATAGCCTCTCCTAGCAACATGCCCAAAGTATGTGAGGTAAAGTCTCATCATTCTTGCCTTCAAAGAGCTCTCTGGCTACATCCTCTCCAAGACATATCTAGTTGTTCTTTTGGCCGTCCATGGGATGTTCAGTGCTCTTCTCCAATACCATAGTTCAAAGGCATCAATTCTTCTTCTGTCATTCATTGTCTAGTTCTCAGATACATAGCAAGTGATCAGAAAACCTATGGCCTGAATCAGATGCACCTTAGTCCTCAAATTGACAATATTACTCCTCAATAATTTGGAGAGGTCCCTAACTGCAGATTTTCCCAGTGCAATGTATAACCTTATTTCCTGACTATTAGTAACAAGGGCATTAATTGTATATCAAAGCAAAATGAAGCTGTTGACAGTTTCAATCTCCTCTCCATCTATCGTGATATTGTCTATCCAGTTAGAAGAATGTTTATTTTCTTGGCATTGAGATGCAATCCATACCAAAGGCTGCATTCCTTGATCTTCTGCAATGAGTGCTTCAAGTCCTCCTCACTTTGAGCAAGCAAGGTCGTGTCATCTGCATAAGGCAGATGAGTCTCCCTCCAATGCTGATGCCACATTCATCTTCAAAGAGTCCAGTTTCTCAAATAATTTGCTCAGCATACAGATTAAATAGGTATGGAGAGAGAATACAAGACATTTTTAGTAATAAACCCTTAACACCACAATGCTAATCTAATAATCACCTTTGTTGAGCTCCAGGAGCTTGTCTTTGCCCTGTCCTATCACTAGTATAGTGAAGTGAGTACTCTAGAAATAGATGAAAATATAACACATAATAATCTAATCTTTTGAACAACAAGTATTACAGATAAAACTTAGTCCCACACATTGTATTTCCCTAATTCAACTTTCTAGGAAAATGCCTATTAAAAATCCCTGTTACACATAACTTTAAAATAATTCTAAACCATTAAGTTGGAACCAACTCAGAGCTGACTCTTCAGTGGGTTCACGGAGGCTATAAATTACACAGGAGAAGCCTGCCCATCTCCTTTCTCCTTTGGGGCAGCTGGAGGATTTGAACTGCCTGTGTTTGGGTTAGCAGTGCAACTCCTCCCGCTCAATCTCCCTAGGTGTCTTTTTTCTTTTAATTCCAAAGCAGCTTCATCAGTTAAGTTTGCGCTTGATTGAGGGCAAACAGGTATCTGACTCTAGTAGCTTAATTCAAACAGGGGCTTGTGTTTCTTATTTTTTTCTTTTTTTGGTGAGAAAAATTTGTATTTAGATTTAGCCAGCTGGACTCAGTTTAGATGAGCCCAATTTTGTTGGCAACATCCAAGGCATCATAGTCAGGAGCAAGTCAAACATAGGCTGCCTTCTCTCCGTCAGGCCTAACCGAGGTGTTGACCTTAGCCACATCAATGTCATAGAGCTTCTTTACAGCTTGTTTGATTTGGCTCTTGTTGGCCTTGACATCAACAATGAACACAAGTGTGTTGTTATCGTCTATCTTCTTCATCTGACTCAGTGGTCGGGGGAAATTTGATGATGGCATAGTGGTCAAGCTTGTTTCTCCTGGGGGCGCCCTTACAGGGGTATTTGGGCTGCCTTTGGAGTCTCAGCGTCTTAGGCCGCCGGAAGGTGGGTGAAGTGCAGTTTTTCTGGGTTTTTTTTTTTGCTGTGGATGCCCTTCAGGACTGTCTTCTTGGCCTTTAATGCCTTTGCTTTGGCTTCAGTTTTGGGAGGGGCAGGGGCTTCCTTCTACACTTTCGGTGCCATCTTCGTAGTGGGCCTGTGTTTATTACTTAAAAAATAGGTGATCAACAAAGGGTACAGCAGCTTCACAATGTTATCAGCATCCATGTCAAAACAGCTCTTCCATCCTTCATGTGTAACATCCATCCTTGTAGTCCAGATGGCTGAAGCCTCATGCTCACGTTGCAGGCACGAAAAGGAGGAAGGGCAAAGAGCATGACTAATAAAAAAGAAAAATCCTATTCAGGAACTTCTGCAGGAAGCTAGGGAATGTGGATTTTAGAACCTGGAGGCATTGCTGCCCTAAACAAAGTCTAGGTTCTTTTAGTGAGGAAGAAAATTTCTATTGGTTTCAGTAATATAATTCATATTCTAAGTGTCATTTTTCTTTTCCAGATGGCTCACCCCAGAAGCCCAATTCAAACTCTGCCCTCTTCTACAAGCAGCTTTGATGAACAAAACTGATGTCAACTCTGCCTGACTCCATGGGAAAAATCCATGAAATAAATAGATAAAACCATTTCAATTTTTTTAAGATGGAGTAATGTAAATATAAATTATTGCACTAATATGCTATACTAATATATAAGTCCATGTGAAGATTTAAGTTTGTAGACCCTACACATACTATGTTAAAAAATAGGTACTTCAATATTTTCTAGTTTCTGGGATATAAAAAATAACCAGATAGAAAAAAAGAAATGAATCCTCCAAAGTAATATTAACCCTGGAACTATCCAATATAGGCTGGAGAGATTACTAGCTTGTACTTTATAAGTACAATATGACCTTAGGAAAATAACCCTGTTCCTGTTTATCTTAGGATTATCAATGGTAAAAAGTAATCGCTTCACCAAAGTCCTTCACTTTAAGAAACTCTTCACTGGTAATTGAAAAGAAATATATTTTAATTTAGAAGGCTTATCCATTTATTAAGGGCAATAACAGTCACTTGATCAATTATAAAGACTTTCAGAATATTATTTCTTATATTTAATTAAGAAGTTAGACCAGTTCATGTCTACATTCTGTTTTTCAAATAGAATTTGAAGTGAAAAAGAATCGGCTCACTTTTTCATGGCTATTGAGTTGGAACTGCCTAATAGTTAACGCTCCAGCATGTTTCTGAGGATATGAATAGCATGGTAGGAGATTGCCCCTCCTCCCCTGGAGTCACTGGTAGAGTCAATCAGAAGAGTGTGGCTCCCGATGGACTAACTTCACCAGAACTCTCTAAAAGGTCCAAAATGACTTAAAAATGAGACTGTATCCTTTCTAGCACTTTAAGTAGTTAACTCTGGCTCACTAAGGTCTAAAGCATTTCTTATTTTTGTCTACGGTCGCGATTCAAGCATAAGGTAACTAGAGATTACATGAGAGTTAAGAATAGCAAAATTTAACAGAACAGCAAACAACAAATGCTGGCGAGGTTGTGGAGAAACTGGAACCCTTATTCACTGTTGGTGGAAGTGTAAAATGGTGCAACCACTATGGAAGGCTGTATGGCACTTTCTCAAAAAGTTGCAAATAGTGGCAAGCTCTGGTAGCCTAATGGCAAGAAGCTGTACTGCAATCCCAGAGGTGCACGGTTCGAATCCACCAGATGCTCTGCTGGAGAAGGAGGGACAATCTACTCCTGTACCAGTCAGATCTGATTTGACGGTACACTCACACAAATAATAAAAATTTTTTAAAAAAAAGTTGCAAATAGAAATACCATTTGACCCAGCAATTCCACTACTGGGAATATACCCCAAAGAAACCATAACCACCACCCAAGCAGATATATGTACACCCATGTTTATTGCTGCTTTGTTTACAGTAGCAAAGAGTTGGAAACAGCCTAAGTACCCATCAACAAACAAATGGATAGAGAAGCTCTGGTATATTCACACAATGGAATACTATGCTGCATTGAAAACAAGGACCTCATGTAATATACAAAATGGGTGGCCCTGGAGGACATTATGCTGAGTGAAATATCTCAGTCACAAAAGGATGAATACTGTATAATGCCACTGTTGTAAAATAGGACTGACATTGGGGCTGGAGGGAGACTGAGAAAGATGGGATAAATTATGTGTACTGAATTGAAACAGATGAGGGAAAGAACTGTTTAAAGGGGATATATAAGGTACTATGGTCATGACAGGATCCCAGAATGAAGGCTGCATAGTGGAGGGGACTGAGGGTGGGGGGCGACTGTATAACAATGAAAGAATTTTTCTTTTACTTTTCAAAGAAAAAAGCGAACTGGGAGTGGGGGGAAGGGGTGGGCAGGGAGAAAAGTACAACAATGAATGAATGGAAATCCAAAGTCTCTGTAAACTTTCATTAAAATTAATAATAAAAAAAATAAACCAGGTCTTTTTCATCCCACCGTGCAGGCTTCAGAGCTGCTATACATGGAGTCACTATGAGTCATAGGCTACTTGATGGCACATAACAACAACAACAACAGAGTTTTCAGATTTAGCAGATAAAAATATAATACTCAAATTTGAATTTCACGCCCCGGCCGCGCGTCGGGACCGGGGTCTGGTGCGGAGCGCCCTCCGTCCCGGGAACACGGGGAGCGGCCGGAAAGGCGGCCGCCCCCTTTAAAAAAAAAAAAAAAATTTGAATTTCACATAAACAACAAATAATGCCTTAATATAACTGTCCTATTAAATGTTGTTGTTGTTATGTGCCGTCGAGTCGTTTCCGACTCATAGCGACCCTATATATTCACTAGTCCTATTAAATAGTGAATATATACTATAAATATATCTTAAATATTGCATGGAACATAATTATAAAATTATTTCCTGTTTATCCGAAATTCAAATGTCTGTGGGCATCCTGTCATTTATCTGGCAGCACTATAAACCTGTCCCCCACAAAGTTTCAAAGAACATGAGGAGAGGCCTATCCTCATTATGTGCTGTACATCTCAGAGGAAGGGAAACTTCCTCAGGGTGAATGTGACTGAAGGCACAAGAGTAGTTTTGATGCTAATACCCTTCTCTACAGTTCCAAGAATAAGGATAACAACTTCCCATGGACAGGAAACAAAGGGATCCAGATCTTCACTATACTTATAATATGTATAGCTAGCCTTAAAGGAAGCAGCTACATATATGATATCCTTAAATATCTTTAGGTTAGCTAAGGTTAAAAGATATTTTAGGTTTCTTAAATATTTCTCTGAAATGCCAAGTAGAATCTTGCTAGAAAGAAGACTCTGAGACACTCTCACTTAAGAGCCTGTTTATGAGACCCACATTATGTTTACAATGTACTTATGAATGAAAATTAAACAGTAAAGTTAGCAAGTATACTTGTTTCTGGTAGAAGTATTTTTGAGGATTATTTTTAAACCTGCTAGTTACATTCATACTATGTAAGAATAAAAAAGATGCTTGAATATTTTAATGTTATTGTTGTTAAGTGCCATAAAGTCAGTTGAAACTCAGAGCGAGCCTAAGTACAACAACTTTGAACTCTGCCCTATCTTGAGCCAACCTCATTGTCTCTGACACACCTAAACCCCCCACCCCCAATACACCAGGCACTGAGTCAATCCATCTCATTCAGGGTCTTCCTCTCTTGCACTCCCCCTCCACCCTCCCAAGCATGAAGTCCCTCTCACTATGAGACAATGTTTATAATATTCATAAGCCTTCAAGTACTATGTCATTTTTTTATTATTATTATTATTTTTGTGTGAGTGTACCGTCAAATTATATCTGACTGGTACAGGAGGAGATTGTCCCTCCTTCCTCGGCAAAGCATCTGGTGGATTCGAACCATGCGCCTCTGGGATTGTAGTTGCAGCTCCTTACCACTAGGCCACCAGAGCTCCCCAGTAGTATGTCATTTAAATGATTTGGTCATTCTTGTGAAATGAAGGGTCATAAAAAAATGCTGTTGATCATATAGATAAACAACTTTAAAGGTGCTACTACCACTGTACCAGTATTAAAATGTATGCATTGTATCTTTTATAATTTTTTTATATGCTACCTATTTGAGAACTCTGTAAATACAATGACTTCATTAAAATATTGCTTATCTGATGCTTTTCAATGGTTGGTTTGCAACTGAGTAACAAGCAGAGAAAATAAGTGATGAAGATGCACCAGGTTATATTTTTAAATCAATATTAATACAACTTGATTTTCCTTTTTTTTAACTGGAAACATTACAAATGTAAGACGTTATATGAGACATAAATTACAAACTAACAAATTATAAAGCAAATTCCCATATAAACACCCAAAAATATATTAATGAGCATCCTAGAAAGCTCTCCTCCTTCCCTCCCTTAGCAAAGTGCATTCCCTATTAAACAATTACTTACCTGTTTGTTACAATAAATGTTTCCTTGACTTTGCCCTGTTAGTATGCATCCCTATATGTATGGTTTGTTTACCTTTTTTGTTGTTTTTATTACATCTATGCTGTTGGGTTTTGTTTTTATGGTAAATTACATGAAAGTTTACAGACTAGGTCACTTTTTCGTTCAGCAATTCATATACATTTAGGACAAAAGTTGGCAAAGCAAATTGACTTTCCATACAACAACTTACAAACATTCTCCTTCCTATTGATCGCAATGCCCAGTGTAACATCACTCATCTCACTTCTTCTCTGTTTCTGTTTTCCTTTCTTTTCTAACACTTCCTGCCTTCTGAACTTTGCCAATTGGCAAATAATACATTTTTAAAATTTCCAATGGGTGATTGGTATAAGGACTTCATACTACTACCACCATAGTGATGATATTCACCTAATATACCTGTCTATTGTTTGTCTGAAAATTGAGCCATTGGGGTGAGATCTCAGTTCTAGATCCAAAAGGGTCAAAATTTCTGGGTTTCCACTAGTCCCTACCAGACCAGTAATCCTTGTCTTTTTATACAATTTTGAGTTTTGTTCTACATTTTTCTCCCATTCAATTCAGAATCTTCTAAAGTAATTCTTCTTAGTAGTGGTCACTAAGCACTCTGTAGTTCTTCTGATCTTAAAGTCATAGAGGCTGAGGTCATGTGGCCCTCTAGTCCTTTGGACTTATTTTTTTCCATGCATCTTTGATTTTCTACACTTTGCTTTATATGAGAATAGAGTAATAGTTGTGCCTTAAACTACTGTTTTCTAGTTACTTTTGCATGGTTTTGAATTCCATATATATGGAATCATGCATGTATTCTTTTATGTCAAACCACTCTCAGCGTTTGTGTTAAAGCTTCATATTGTGTGCCTGTGATAATTTCATCACTTTTTTTTTAATTTCATCACTTTTGATCATTTCTTTTTCATGCATGAGCATAGCACTCAATCCATTCCATCGTTAATGTATTTTAGAAATGTTTCCAGTTTGGAGACCATTCATTTTGAACTATGCATGCCATTTTGAACATTCTTGAGCATGTAAATCTATACAAAAGTTTACTTCTTATCTAGGAGTAGAGTGTTTGGTTATAGAAAGTACTCATTTTCAGTTTTTGTACATAATACCAGTTTCATTTTCCAACTCGTACCAGTACAGTCCCTTCGGCACAGAAGAACATGAGAGTTTTTGTTTCATGGTCAGCATTTTTTGTGCATGTTCTTTGAAACCTGAGACATTAATTTTCTAAAGCTTATATATTGATGTGAGCAAATTATATTTGTGAGTTGGGTCAGGAGAACGAAATTTGTTTATCTCTATTTGCAAAACTTTTCTAAAGCAGTGATTTTTCACTTAAAACAAGTTCCTTTAACACAACAAGATAAAGGTAAACCACCCAATCACAAAATGGGTACAGGATATGAACAGACACTTCACCAAAGAAGACATGCAGATGACCAACAAACACATGAAGAAATGTTCAAAATCCCTAGCCCTGAGATGTAAATCAAAACAACTCTGAGATAACATCTCACCCCAGTAAAAATAGCAAAATTTAACAGAATAGCAAACAACAAATTCTGCCAGGGTTATGGAGAAACTGGAACCCTTCTCCACTGTTGGTGGGAGTGTAAAATGATGCTACCACTATGGAAGGCACTATGGCGCTTTTCAAAAAGTTGGAAATAGAAATACCTTTTGAGCCAGCACTTCCACTACTGAAAATACACCCTAATTAAATCAGAACTGCCACTGAAGCAGATATATACTGACCCGTGTTTGTTGCAGCTTTGTTCACAATAGCAAAGACTTGGAAACAACCCAAATTCCCATCAATAAACGAATGGTTAGAGAAGCTGTGGCATAGTCACATGATGGAATACTATGCAGCACTGAAAAACAAGAAACTCATGAAATATTATACAAAATGGGTGCCCTGGATGACATTTTGCTAAATGAAGTATCTCAGTCGCAAAAGGACAAATACTGCATAATGCCACTGTTATAAAACAGGACTGATATGGGGGTTGGAGGGGAAACTCAGAAAAGAGATAAGGAATAGAACTGCTTAAAAATAAAACATGATTAGATATTACTTGCATTACAACAGTCCAGAGTAAGAGCTGCATAGTAAAGTGGACAGGAGTGGGGGCAATTGTACAACAATGAAAGACTTTTTTTTCAAAGTGAAAAGTGACCTGGGGGTGCAGTGAGGAAAATGTCGGAAATTCAAGTTCTGTATAAACTTTGATTAAATTCTCAATTTAAAAAGTTTTTAAAAAACATGCACATCCAGGTTTATCACGGCTTTGTTCACAATAACAAGGAGTTGGAAACAACCCAAGTGCCCATCAACAAACGAATGGATAGAGAAGCTGTGGTATAGTCACACAATGGAATACTACACTGCATTGAAAAACAAGGAACTCATGAAATATTATTCAAAATGGGTGACCCTAGAGGACATTATGCTGAGTGAAATACCTCAGTCACAAAAGGACAAATACTGCATGGTGCCACTGTTGTAGAATGGGACTGACTTCAGGGTTGGGGTAAGACTGAGAAAAACTGGATAAATTGTGTATACTGCATTGAAACAGATGAGGGAGAGAATAATTTAAAAGCGATATGTGGTAGGGTATTATCGTTATAACAAGAGTCCCCAATTAAGGTTTCATGGTGGAGTGTACTTGGGGCGGTGGGAGG